TGTTTAATAGTTTATTATATTTCTTGCTTTTATAAATTGATCTTGAGTTTGAAGCAGATTTTTGTTTGCATCTTGTTTAATTGATTTTTTATTGTTAGATTACAAGAATGATAAGTGGTTTCATAATTTATTTTTGTCTTTTTTTTTTTCAATTGAAAAAATAGTTTCATACTTAATTTTTGTAATTTTTCAATATAAAGAATCAGACCTTACTGAATAGAATCGATTCGATTCTATAGTTGAATATAGAACCAATAGTTCAATTTTTAAGATTCTCATTGGTACTCGATTCCCATTAGAATCAAAGAACTGGATTGAAGTAGATCGCGTCCACTCCTCCACATGAACTAGATTACAAGTGGGTCGAACTGACTGATTCAATTTAGTTAAAGTTTAGTTGATTTTACTTTTCTAGAACACAAATATTTTGACTAGTTCTGGTTCATAATCAAATTTATTTCGGTATTATTTTTATTATAATGTACAGTTAAATTGACCAAGTCAATATATTTATAAATTTATATGAATTATATATATTCATCAGCTTTGTTACTTGAAATACAATGGACTTAATTGTTTGAACACACATCGAATTTTGGGTATGATCATGTTTTACTAACTGAACTTTGAATTACACCCCCTTACTTACTGAAATTTATGAAGTTGCACTCCGTTACACATCGGGCAACTTCCATTTCTAATGCCTACATTTGTATCCAAATGTTTTATATATCAGTAAGTAAAGCATATTCATAGAAAACAAGAGGACTTTTACAGGCATTACCTATTCCAGAATGGAAATGGGAGCCGTTACTATAGACTTTTTATTTGGTCTTCCTCGTACTCGGGATGGTCATGATGGTGTTTTGGTTATTGCAGATCGTTTGACCAAAACTACCAGGTTTTTGCCCATCAAAGCCATTTATATTTTAGATAAGTTGGCAAAGTTGTATATAGATGAGATAGTCAGCTTATATGGTGCTCCATTGTCTATTGTGCAGATAGAGATCCTTGCTTTACATCTAAATTTTGGCCAAGTATGCAAGAAGCCATGGATACTAAGCTACATTTTCAATACAACATTTCATCCTCGACAGATGGTCAATCCGAAAGGACTATATAGACTCTCGATGACATGTTAAGGGCTTGTATTTTAGAGTTCAAATTTAGCTGTGATTTACATTTGTCGTTGATGGAGTTTGCTTACAATAACAGTTACCATTCCAGTCTAGAAATGGCTCATTTTGAAGCTTTTATATGGTAGAAGTGTAGAACACCAGTTTGCTAGGATAAGCTTGTAAGGGAAAGTTAGTAAACCCTGAATTAGTTCAAATGACTTCAAAAAATATGAAATTGATAAGAGAAAAGTTGAAAGAAACACAAAATAGACAGAAAAGTTGTGCAGATAGGTGCATAAAAGATCTTGAATTCACAGTTAGAGATAAAATCTTCTAAAATTGTTACCTTGGAAAGGGTTTTTAATATTTCGCAAGAGAAGAAAGTTGAATCCACAATACATTGGACCCTATGAGATTACTTAGCAGATTGGTCTAGTTGCATATTGATTAGATTTGCCAACTGAATTATCCAGGATCTACGATATTTTTCATGTCTCCATGCATTGCAAGTACATTGCAGATCCTTCTCATGTTCTAGAGTCTCAACCAATTCAGTCGAAGGAGAATTTAACCTATATAGAAGAGCGAGTAAAAATTCTAGACAGAAAGGTGCAAATTCATCCAAGCAAGACAATAATACTTGTAAAGTTCCTATGGAAGAATCAAATGGTAGAATAGGCTACATGGGAGAATGAGGATCGGATACGTGCTTAATATCTTCATCTATTCAATACCTAGTCAGTTGAATTTCGAGGACAAATTTTTTTTAATGTAAGATTGTTACAACTCATTTTAATTAATCAAAAATCAAAAGTTGACTTGTCAGTCTTAGTTAAATAGGGATTAAAACGAAATAAATTATTTTATTGGGATTTATTTTATAGTTGAAAATACTTAATGGGTTATGATGGATATTGAGGATGTACTCATTTATTAAATGAAGTTAAAGACTTAATATTGTGTACAATTGTTAAATAGAGGACTTGATTTGCAATTGCTAGATAGTGAAAAACATGTGGCATACATACAACCATAATTCTTTTTCATTTTTCATGTGATATACACACATCGAAAACGGAGGGTAGAAATAGCAGGAGCTAAGAAAGAAAAATCAAGAAGAAATGAAGAAAATGAGGGAAAAAGATAAGAAGAAAGAAAAGGACAAAAGAAAGAAGAATGGAAAGAAAAAAAGGAAGGAATAAAAGCTTGAGTTTAAATTCTACAATTCTTAAGGAGGTAAAGATGAAGATATTTTATAGAACTATTTATGTTAAATATCTAGGTTTTAATTGGTTGGTGTAATTTTCAGATTAAGTGGAAGGACCATGATTTCAAGCAAATCCGTTTGAGTTGTAAATGATATTTATATGAAGGTAAGAAAAACCATTTTTTTGGCAAACCCTATAATTTTTATTTGGATTCTTGAATAAGTATTATTAGTGGCAATGATTATGATGATGAAATACTCATATGAAAGCACGATCTTAGGGAACAAGATGTAAAGTAAATTAGTATTCGTGTTAATTCAACTTTTCACTAGATGGAAGATGGGATAATTATTGAATAAAAGTTATTTTGATAAATTAATTATTAGTGAAGGGACTAAAAAGTAGAATTAGCTCCTATTGATTAAAGGAAATTTCGGGGAATTTATTCAAATATCAAGAAATTTAGTTTAAGTATTATAGCATTAGATATTGAAGGTCTTTTGATTTGATAGTGTTTACCTTGTATCGTATTTCAAGCGATAGCGAGGAGATTGTAAAAGTTTATCGATCATACTAGCTTGTATTATGTAAGTGAAAATGCTTATTCTTAAGAATAAGTATTTATTAAATTTATATTAGATCAGAAAATCAATCATTTATATAGTTGGTTGACGGCATGATTTTCAGAATAAAGTGAATTTTATAGTCAGTTCTTTTTAAAGTTAGATTTAGTTCAGTTAAATCATTTCATTGGCACTTTATAGTTGTATTAAATATTTCAGTATAACGAGATTATAGCCTTTGGACAGCTCTGCGCGCATATGACCAGAATTACACAATTATAGAATTTTAAAATTTAATAGCTTTGCCATGTATATTGATATTAATCGATACATGAGTAAGGTTATTTCAGGTATCTTTTTGGTGTAAGGTTATTTCAGGTACCTTTTTGGTGTAATTTTTCAATATTTCACAGCTTTTCAAATTTTAAATTACAGAATTTAGCTTATTCAATTTAAATAATAAAGATTTTAGCTTATAGCACAACAAAATGATACTTTTATTATATATTAGTTTTCAAAATGTTGGCATAAAATGAAAAAAAGTATACTTATTTGCAAAATATTTACTCACTAAATTACAAGCTCATATATTTTGTCACATTTTTTGTTATTAGCTAATAGCTCAATTGAGCAACATTGGAGTCTGTTGATCTACCGATTTGAGCCATACATTGTCAATTGTTATATGTCTCACCTTGTCAGTTTATAATTCATATTTCTGTGGTAGATGCATCTTTGGTTAGAAAATGTATCCATATCATGTGTTCGCTGCATATTTTTGTATATGTTGCGTATTTGGAATCTTTTGTTTTTTTTTATAGAAGTGTAAATTTCATTTTTAGTGCACTTATTTTGAATAGTTGATGATTTGAGGGGTTGGTGTACCCTGTTTTATATTATATGTATTGATTTGAGGAAGTTATTGTTGATAGATAATTTTAGTCCATATTTCAGAGGAAGCTCTAGTAGGTAATTTTGGTCCATATTAAGAAAATATTTCAAATTTACGTGTAATATTATTTTATTGAAAAACGTGTAGTTAAAAATAAGAGAGAAAATGTATTTTGAAAATAATGAAAGCGAACGATGACTTAATGTAGGGGTATATATATATATATATATGTATATATATGTGTATATATATATATATATATATATATATATATATATATTTACATGTACTATTATTTTATCGAAGAATGTATTGCTAAAAAGAGAAGAGAAAAATGTATTTTAAAAATAATGAGGAGTAAACAAGAGCTTAAGAACATCTCTAAGAGATTTTCTATTTTTAAAGAGTATATTCTTTCATTTAGAGAGCATCTATAAATTTATAGAGTTAAAAATTTAAAGTACTACAATAAACTCTTTATATTTAACTCTTGATTTTAGTATTTCCAAAAAATATTTATTATTTTTGTCTCTCTTTTATTTTAAGTAATTTTTCTTTAAATTATAGAATTGAAATACTTTGAATGCATTCAAGCCCTCCCTCTAAATTAAAATGTTAATTTATAGAGTCTATTGGAGCATGATTTCAAAGATTAACTCTTTAAAATATAGAGCATTTTAAGTTTAAAGAGTTTTTTAGAGATATTGTAATAACATTAATTAAATAATGATGCATAGTACACATAATACTACTCTTTTCGTCTTATTTATATAGGCAGATTTTGTTTTTTTTTACAACAAGAATTAAGAAATCTTTTTTAATGTTATTGAAAAAATAATTTTTGTTAAAACTTTTTTTAATCTATCCTTATTTAAATTTGTATAATTTCAAAATTAAATAAAAAAATTGATTATAATTGGACAATTTAAATAAGATTATATTAGTAAATGAACAAAGCATAACGATGTTATAAAAGAAAGAATACTTGTATGGGGTGTTTGATAGACATTTTTATGTAAAAATGTATTTTAGAATAGTAAATTGATGTGAAATGAGTGGTTGAAAAATAAGAATTTTTTTTAATTTACATGTAATATTATTTTAATAAAAAATATGTAATTGAAAAGAAGAAATAAAAAAATACATTTTGAAAAAAAATTACTACAAAAAGGCCATACGTTTACCCTACGAAAGCATGAGCATGGCAACGGCAGTAGGATTGGCGCGCAGGGGCAGTTAAAATGTTTTTTTGGGTACAAAAAGAACGGTGTGCTCTGTGGCAGCCATGAAATATCGCATAAAGTGGTCCTTTCCCATTTCTCCTCCATTTTCGCACCATTTTAACCTCCCCTCAAAAATACCCATCATTACCTTTTCATATTCGCAAATTTTCTACCTTTTTCTTTCAGATGGGTGAGATCGTGTTTTACAAAATTGGATTTTGTGTTGAACAAAATTATATTTCCTGATCGTGTTGTACAAAATTGGATTTTGTGGGCAAAGTGAAAATGGGATCAATTGAATAAATTCAATAGGTGTGAGATTTGGATCAGATGCAACAAGGAAAGATGTACTTTGCCAGCCTTGATGATTCGCCCATGTTTCGGCAACAGGTGATATTTTGTATGAATCATTGAATATTATAATTAATATGAAAATGTTGGGTATATTTTTAGTAGTTCAGCTTATGATCTTTTGTAGGACAATAATCTTTTTACTTGGGCAGGAAAGTTGTGTGAAAAAAGGGGAAAAAGATAAGCCTATCAAGATTTAGCCAAAGTAGTACTGCCCAAGAAAATGTCAAAAAATTGTTGATAATGGGCCATAAAGTTTGATGTTAAACTGGTAAGGAGTGGTATGGAACATGTTATGGGTGATCGAAAGGGTGAAGAAGCTTTGGCCAGTATGTATACTGTGAGTGGATAGAATGGATTACAGGAACAAGTGGGAATCATTCAATCATTTTTTTTTTTTTTTTTAAGAAATTTAGTTTACCACATTGGAAATATCAAATATACTTTTGCTGTGATTAGAAAATATATTATCTTGTTAAAATTCCATCGTTACTTTGATTTCATTCTGCCTTTAGCAATAGTAAGCTTCGAGAAAATTGCGTGGAAATCCCTATCTCAATAATTATTAACATAATTGCAAAAAAAGATAAAGAGTTCCCTTGTATCCCATGGCCGAGCGTGTGAGTGCAATCCAGTGGAAAGTATAGCCTAAGAAAAAAGTCAAAGTGCCTAAAAATTTGAAGTAACTTAAGCAATTTTTGTTTCTAAAATGTGGTCTTGAAAATTTTAAACTCCTAGTTCAAAAACTTACGTTTGGAATGCAAGTCCTTACTTTATAACAAAAAGTACTTTTACTTTTTTCTTAGGTCAGCCAAACCCTGCTCTATGTTGCTGTTTCCGTGTGAACAATGTGACATAGATACATGTGGCGTGATAATCTTTTGACGTGTATGTGATGAAAATGCAATGTTATGATTTCTTAATGTACTCAATTGCATTTTATGAACTACATTGTCAACGGAGAGATTAATTAAATAAATTTATACATAATATGTATTGTTGTCTACTTGTTTTCCTGGTTATGTCTCATTGATGTGAACCCACGGATTATATCACTTCTTTTGAATTTGACATCTCAAAAGCAATTAAAATTTGTTCTTAAGTATTGGACATATCTTATTTGGCCAAGCAGCTCCAGTGTTTGGAAGAAAGTGCTGAGACATTAAGAGATCGAAGTGTGAAGTTCCATAAAGGATGTCGAAAGTACACGTAAGTCCAAATCTACATACTTTTCTCATTGAATTGCTTACACTTAGTACTGTTCAATTATTATTCTTATTTAGTCATGACTCAAATTAGAAATTAAAAATTTTTAGTTTAAAATTCTTAAGAGCATCAATTCTTGTTTTATATGTTTTGAAAGATAATAATTCCTGTTTTATATGTGCATGAGTGTCTGTATGTGTAATGCATTTTATCTTCTATTGCATCTATGATCTTTTATGGTCGTGAAAACTTTTATAATTGGTGCTGAGTACTCTACAAATAACCGAATCACTGCCCATTCGTTTTCAGTAATGAGGACCTTATTGCATAATTATTTTTTTGTAGTCAGGGGAACATATTGATTAAGCTGTTAACTGAGACTTTGAGCACCTTTTGACCTTGAAGATTGATAACCGAGCGAACGACTACCAGTTTTAGATACGTCATGAAGTTGGTTATCAAGAAGTGTGTGTTAAATACTTGCAAGTGATTTATAGTATGGTAGCTTCTTGCATATAAACATGCACGTGTGCTGTGATTGTGTATATATAGGCATGAATTTATGCACTTATGGACATACATATGTACATCAATAGTATTTAGAAAAATAGACAGATAAATTAATATTTCCCTGGTAAATATTTTTTTAAGGGAGTAAAATTTATTTGGCACGCAATGCCAACTGAACTAGAAAGATGGAGGATGCAAAACGTTTTTCCTCCAAATAGTAGTGCCATAAAACTGCACCATAGATGATTCACAAATTAATATATAATGTATTAGAAAATAAGGCACTATAATATTGGTGACGAGACAACTATTCAAAAATCAAAGTAGAAAAGGTATAGTGAAATATGATGGGTCAATTTGACTGCTGGAATCAACTATAACCATGGTTAGAGTTTTTGGAAACTGAAAAATGAGCTAAAATCATGATGAAGTGTTAATTTCTGATTGAGTGAGAGGTAAACACATATAATGATAGAGTTTGAACTGTGTGATTCTGTAACATCTTAGAACAGCATGCCCTTTAGTGCGTTGGTGAAATCATTACCTTACTTGGGCATGAGTGGCTGACCATGCCCTGATAATTTATAGAAGTTCAACTTTGTTTTGTCATATCTGCCTCCTTGAAAGTTCAATGGGAAGCTACATTCAGGGCCTGCAGTCTATGTTTGGCATTAGGACATAAATAGTTTCTGGTAGGGAACTTCATGAATGGTTAGCATAAAACTAAAGCTTCTTTCTTTTAAAATGTTTTCTTTTATAAATATGAATTTCTGGATTATGCATACATAAACGTTTTAATTGTATACCTTATGCAGTAGAAACATCGACATCTTTTAAAATCACTAGAGACATGATGAAAAATTTAAAAGAAGTATAATTGAACCTGTTGTTTCTTCATCGGTTTAATCTAATTTCTTCTTCTTTCTTTCGTCTTCCTCCTTTTTATTTGAAGGAAGGTGGAAATGTGTATGATATTGAGCTACTTGTCCTCCAAATTTTTCCCTATATGGAAGCTCAAAAATTTACTCATTCTTTTCTAACTGTATGCCTTCACTGACATCTCTTTTTAATATTAATATATGCTTTTCAGTTCTTTTTTTATAAATGCCAGATGAATCCCGTATCAGCTATCTAATATAATTAGTGTGATAGCCATTTCTTTAATTTGCTGAAATTGACATCTGATTTCAAGAGTGAGCATTAATGTCAAGAACATTTCTATATTTTGATATATATTGGAAATTCCAAGTGGTTTTCTTTACGACTGTATGATAATCTAAACTATTATGACATTGCAACAATATCACTGTTCTTATTGTTCCTTGATTTGAATTCACAGAGACGGGCTTGGAGAAGCATATGATAGGGACATTTCTTTTGCAAATTCTCTTGAAACTTTTTCAGGGGGGCATAATGATCCAATTTCTGTGGCATTTGGAGGTATTCGTGTTTTGATTATCTTAAGCAAATCTTTTCCATGAGAATGGGCGGAATGTTAACCAATAAATAAATAAATAAAAATTTGGCCTCCGGCATTTAATTCTCTACATTTGTAAAGCCTTGAGGATGTTCACAGGTACTTTGGTAAATTTAAAGAAATATATTTCTCAAAAAATGAGATAGAAAGAAAAAATCTTGTGGCACTAAGCAATATCCTCAAGTTACATAGCCTTTGGTATTGACAATTGTTTTCTAACGTTCATTAAATATGGTGAAACCCATTTATGTAAGTCTTCAGTTTTTCAAGTCTTCGTGAGAAATGATTTCTAATAGGATTTTCCTATTCTATTCATTTCTCTTTGTGTGCACGCTAACATCTATCACTTAGTGTAATATCGAAGTTCGAGGTAACAATTGGCTCAAAGAAAACTTTAAATTATGTAGTTTCATTTACTTCCTCAACCTCGTTGGGTTTTGGTTACATTGTATATTTCTTTTCACATTCCTTCTTTAGTTACACTTTCTCAACAGATATTAATTTCTTTCTGCAATAAGGTTGGCACAGTTTTATAGTTTGATACATACACGGAGTCATTAAACATGGTTACTAATTTCTGCACAGTTTTATAGTTTGGTACATACATGGAGTCTTTAAACATGGTTTAATCATGCTGGTTTACGAGATGATCTTACATTACTTCAATTGTCAGAAGCTTTTTTTCCTGGATGTCAAGTTAGAAACTTATTGTCAATGTGTCCAAGCGAGATTTTTGCAACATAATAATCTTATCTATTGTTTATGGGAGCAACATAGTAATTTTTCCAAAAGAGCTGTGAAAGCTCTTCTGCCATATAATATACAATTTCTTTGTGCAAAATATGGTTAGACTGAAAAAAAGTGGAGCATTCAGGGCTGCTATTATTGCTATATCATGGAAGATATTATTTCAGATAAACAGGATTTATTTTTCCAATTTAAGCTTTATAATATGGCCTTGAGACTGGTAACATTAGATCCATTTTCGTATTGAGTAAGAGCAGTCATCGGAAAATATAAACTTTGAGGAGAACTCAATTAGTTGCAAATCCAAATTCTACAACCGCACAGTATAAAGATGACTCGGTAATGACATCTAAAATTGGAAACAAAAGTGTTTCACATGATTTTTTCAGCTTACATTGCGTTTATAATAATTCCTCTTGCATCATTATCAATTGTAAGTAAAATCAATATGATTCTCAATCGTAGAGCTGATTAATCCTTTTTGTACTTTTAGGCCCTGATATGGCAAAATTTGCAATTGCTTTGAGGGAAATCGGAACGTACAAGGAAATTCTTCGATCACAGGTGGAAACTTTCTTTCATAATAGCTCAGTTAGCCTTTTTTGTGCTAAAGTACAATTTCTTGACAAGCATGGTTAGATTTATTGTTTCTCACTTAATTGCATCTTTAGAACATATCTGATGGTGCATAAAAATATGTAGCGTGCATAGTATTTAAAATTTAGGCTTTGAAGGAGTGAGATGAATAAATATTTTTTCTGGGTAAGTATCGCTAATATTTTCTATGGGTTCTTTCAGCTGTAAACCTAAGGCAATAAATAATAAGAGACTCCTCAAGGAAATCCTTGTTGATTATGCTTCTTTTGTCCAAATTTTAGTATTATAAAACGACAAAGAAATCCCATGTGAGTACTCTGGACTGGGATGCCATTGTCTGCATTATATATTCCTTACCCATCCCTTATGAGCATAAATCCTACAATACATACTGCCATCTTCCTTAATGTTCTTCTGCCTTCATTCTATTGTTGGACCACATACATTCTGTTATCATCTCTTTTTTGAACTTTCTACATATGACTGCTGACATTCTTCACTTGTATGTCTTAGGTGGAGCATGCACTGAATGATAAATTATTACAATTTGCCAATGTTGATCTTCAAGAGGTCAAGGTAGTTATTTGCATTTCCACTTTGTAGTAGTTTAGGTTGTAATAATCCGCAAAATATGATCCATATTCCTCGCTGGCACATCTATGAACGGAAAATTATTGCACTTCCAGTTATTTCTATGAGCAATATTATATAATTATTTTCAAATGGTAATGTACATTTACTGCTACTCTCAAAGTCTATGTCTGGAATGTTCTATTTAATTTTAAGCTTTCATCAAGGAATTTTATATCATACAGGAAGTAACTGAAAAATAGGGCTAGAAAAATGATAAACGGCACTAGAAGTAGTGTTGCCAGAGTTGCGAATATTCACTATTTAGATAGTTCATGTTCTAAAGAGTAAACATCATTATTATAGTTCAAAATTAAATCTAAGAGGAACAAGGTTTTCAACTTGTCATTGACTGCAAATTTTAATTTGCTTTTAGCAGAGGTGCATATTCCTTTTTTTTTGATAGGTAATTAGACAATTTTATTAATCAAAAGAGAATATACAGGAATTATATTATCAATTTAAATAAGAAAGAAACAATATGTAATTAGGCAGCTCTTCTATAGGATTAGTAGCCGCAGCATTAAATCAAGTACACAAAGTCAGATAAAATAGTTATTTAATCTGTTCTGTCGTCCAGGTTTGGTTTTCAAAATAGCGGTTGTTCCTCTCTCTCCATACACACACACACACACCATACAATGTATCCTAGAATAAGATCTCATACAAGTTTGCTTTCCTTATCACGAAGTATTCTCGTCCATATCCACAACATGTCCTTTATACGCATAGGCGAAACCTAATCCATATGTTGAGAAGCCAGAATACTGTTCCACAACCAACGAACACCATCACAATGAATGAACAAGTGATCATTCGTCTTTCCATCCTCTTACACATAATATCACTCGGTTACATAAAAATCTTTTCTTCGAAGTTTATCTACCGCTAACACCTGGCATCGCACAATTGTCTACAGTAAAATGCTACTCGTGGGGCAATTTATATTGCCATACTATCTTTCAGGCAATGTTTTAAAACCCGGCCCGGGCATCGACCTGGTAAACAAAAAAGGTCAAGGGTCAAAAGGTTCAACTGGGGTCAAATCGGAGGTGATAAATAAATATTTATAAACATTTAAATTTTATTTTCACAACAATATATAATTAAAGTTTTACACAATCAATTCAAAATAAATACTAATATGGCAAATGTATGTTTTTAATATAAATTTTAATAGTTTTTATTTTTTAGATCACTTAAAAACTCATTTTAATTTTACTAAATAATTTGTATGATTAAAAAAATGTTTAGCAATCTATAGAAATTGAGTATTTTAATTGTGTAATCATTCACCATGTGGCCATAAATAATATTGAAAAAGTGTTCTTTATTGAAGTTTGTCAATTCCACATTGAAAGTGTATTGAAAGTATGTTTTATTAAATTTTGTCAATCCCAAATAGGAAGTTTATCAATTATGGGATTCGAAAAATGGTTATAAAACAGCTCAATAGGTGAAGAAGTAAGTATATGGGTTTTCATCTTTAAGGTAACCTTTTTATTATATAAATTTTATATAAAAAAAAAAGTTGTGAAAACCAGTCCAAAATCGAAACCGGTTCCCAGTTTTTGATTTATTTGACCGATTTTCCGGTTATTTGACCAGTTATTAAATAACCGGTTAATTTAGTATAACCGAACCGGATTTTGGCCCGGTTCCCAGTTTTACTGGTTCAACCGGCCAGTCCGGTTTTACAAACATTGGAGATGAACTCTTCATAGGTCCCAAAAGGGATCTAAAATAGGTGCGAACTGAAAAAATACCATTTTGTGCCAACCTCCACCTACTACAATCACTCTCCTCTATTTGGATTTGCACCTCATTCAAAGAGGTCAAAAACATAACATAATCATCAAATTCCCAATCGTGTACCCAAAAATAATATTCCAGCTGTAACGCCCATTGTGAATGACTAATAAATGCATCATGCACCATAGCAGAAGGCTCCAGAGCAATGCGATGCAAGGAAGGAAACCCTACCTTTAGCGATTGATCTCCACACCAACAATCATCCCAAAATTTAATGTTATTACTATTCCCTACCGTAAGAGTCAATCTATCCCAAAAGTCACCCATCCTCGTCATATATACCTCCAAAAACTTACCCTAAAAGACCACGACCCTCAATCAAGTGCCAACCCCCCTATATCACACCATACTTTATCCATATGATTTCTCTCCAAAAACTCTCCCTCTTCACTCCAAATCGCCACAACGACTTGCTCAATAAGGCATTATTAAATAAAAAGCTCCTCAATCCAAGGCCCCCATCCTCATAGGAGAGCAAACACCCCAATTAACCAAATGAAGTTTTCTCTCCTCCCCCAACTCTACCCAAAGAAATTCCTTTTGAATCCTCTCTAATCTATTTGCCACTACAATAGGAATAGGAAACAATGACAAAAAATAAGTAGGAAAATTAGAAAGAGTGGATTTAATGATAATAAGACGGCCTCCATTTGAAAGGTACCTATGCTTCCACTCCGCTAACCTCCTCTCCACCCTTTCCAGAATACCTTTCCAAATATATATACTTTTAAACTGTGCTCTTAAAGGGAGTCCTAGAAATGACATAGGCAACTATGCAATCCTACAACAAAATATCTCAACCAACTCTTCTACGTTATCAACCTTTTTTACTAGAATAGCATTAGATTTCCCCAAATTTATCTTCAATCCAGACACCACTTCAAAGCATAGAAGCGGGCGACTTAAGTTCCTTAATTGCTAATGATCCACATCACATAAGATCAGTGTATCATCTGTAAATAACAAGTGGGACACTTGCAAATGACCAATTGCCAAAAATGAGAATGAAACCGTAGAGATACAAATTGAATCCACCTTACACCACTTATCCCAAAAGCTACATCACTTGAGCATATACAAGAGGAACCCCCAGTTCACGTGATCATAAACCTTCTGAATATCGAGCTTAAAAAGCATCCCTAGATCCCCCTGGCGCATCTTGAGTCAATGCATCCATTCGCTATAAGTACATAATCTAAAATCCGGTGCCCTTTAACAAAAGCATTTTGAAACTTAGATACAACTTTCCTCAATATCTCCTTTAATCTATTGGCCAGCACTTTCGCAATAATCTTGTACACCCCACTGATTAAACTAATAGGATGAAAATCTTTTATATCAGTCGCTCCCGATTTTTTAGGAATTAGTATAATGACTGTAGCATTAGAACCTCTTAGAACTTGCTACACTAAAAAAAAAAAAAAAAAAAAAAGTAAAAAACTTATAATATTTCTTTCAAAACAACCGGACACTTGCAAATGACCAATTGCCAAAAATGAGAATGAAACCGTAGAGATACAAATTGAATCCACCTTACACCACTTATCCCAAAAGCTACATCACTTGAGCATATACAAGAGGAACCCCCAGTTCACGTGATCATAAACCTTCTGAATATCGAGCTTAAAAAGCATCCCTAGATCCCCCTGGCGCATCTTGAGTCAATGCATCCATTCGCTATAAGTACATAATCTAAAATCCGGTGCCCTTTAACAAAAGCATTTTGAAACTTAGATACAACTTTCCCCAATATCTCCTTTAATCTATTGGCCAGCACTTTCGCAATAATCTTGTACACCCCACTGATTAAACTAATAGGATGAAAATCTTTTATATCAGTCGCTCCCGATTTTTTAGGAATTAGTATAATGACTGTAGCATTAGAACCTCTTAGAACTTGCTACACTAAAAAAAAAAAAAAAAAAAAAAAGGTAAGAACTTCTATAATGTCCTGTCACATCACCTCCCAATATGCTTTATAGAATGAGAACGAGAAATCGTCAGGTCCTGAGACCTTATCATCATTCATACCGAAAACCACCTCCTTAATTTCATCCTCCCGAATGGTCTTTCTAACCAATTGGCATCCTCCTCCGTGATAGTAGAAAAATCCAATCCTCCAACTCTGACCTCCACTCACTATTCCCAATAGAGATTCTAATAGAATCTTACCATTTGTGTCCCAATATTGTGTGGGTCCTCATAAGTAACACCATCCACCTCCACAATGTGATCGAATTGTTGTACCCGTTAGAATTATCCACCCTATGGAAAAACTTGGTACATTTGTCCCCCTCTTTCAACCACACAACCCTAGATTTCTAGGGTTAAGCAACCTCCTCTATCTATATCAACCTCTCCAGCTCTTTCCTTAACGCTCCACATCTCTCCTTCTCCTTCCCAACCAACCTTCGACTCTCCTCTTGCTTATCTAACTCTTCTATGTCTGAAAGATACTGCATTTTACGGCAATTGACATTGCTTACCACCTCCTCATTCCACCTCCTTAAATCCCCTTGCAAAACCTTCAACTTCTGATCTAACACATAACTATAAGACCCCCTATCATCATAAGAGGCCAAACAAGTCCGTACACGCTCCCTAAAGTCTTCTACTATTAACACGACTTCTCAAACCTAAAAGGCCTTCTTCCACTACCCATAAAATTCCCAAATAACAAAATAGGGAAATGATCATAGTATACACTCGCCAATTTCCTCTGAGTTACATCTAAGTATTTAGCCTCCCATTCTCCACTAACTAAGAACTGATCTATACGAGGTGGAACAGGATGGTCTCGATTAATGACCAAGTAAAATCACTCCAATCATAGGCATATCCACCACATATTCTCCTTGATAAAATCTGCAGAGTCCTCTGTAGCCCCAGTAAGTCTCCCACCACTAGACCTCTCAACAGGAAAATCAAACAACATTAAAATTGCCCCTATACACATTGAGAGCTTCCACCAAACCATCATACCAGCCAACTCATCCCACAAGCCCCTTCTACCCTCACAAAATTATTCTTATAAACTCCTATAAACGTCCACTGAAATCTATCCTCAATATTTATAAACAAAAGTGTTATAGAAAATAACACTACACTAACCTCCATCATATAAAAAGCTCTAGTGTCTTACATGACTAGCATGCCTCCTAATGCCCCTGATGACCCCAAAAATTGATACTTTACGTGCTGTCCCGCTATAAGCTACTAATTACAGCCCTGGAGACGAACTCCAACTTAGCTTCTTGTAAGCAGACAAGGTTTGCCCTTCATCCCCTTAACAAATTTTGAACACCTAGTATTTTCCCAACTTCATTAAGCCCCTCACATTCCAGCTCATGAGTTTTGGGATCATTTTAATGCTCCATCACCCCTCCCCAGCATACCTTTCTTTAAGTCGCCGTCCTTAACGTCATAATTTGTTGATCATTCGAGCCGCTTAAGTTTATGATCACTGTTTCTTCTTGATTTACCTCCTTGTGTACTCATCCCCTACTGGTCTCCAGTTCCTCCAATAATTGCCCAAGTCTACTTTCATATCCATCGCATGTCACACTGACCAACTTACTGAAATCTTGAATTTTTTGAAGAACCCGATTCAAAAGTGGGGGTCCGACTTCAATCGCATCCGTTTTTGCTGTTTCCTCTACGTGACAACACTCCAAAAGATCATAGGAATGTCCCTCCAATTCCTCCACCTGTAAGACATCACTGTCCTTTATAAATGGAAAGCACTCACATAAATCAATTGTTTTGGTAAGTTTTGACTTGAGCCATGATGAAATGAGGAAAACCAGCATCCTTTTATTTTCATTTGGGAGTGGGATGAATGATTAACAGCTAGCTAAAAGACCATGATTGTACTTATTCTTTGGTTCTTTGTTAGCAAAGCAACCACTTGAGTTTTTAACAAAAAGAAAATTTGCAAATTATTGACTGTAAATGATATCCAACATGCATGGTTTAATGTATATTGGAGAAGATAAGTAAGACAGAAAATAGTGCGGTAAATGATGCTGAATGAAATGACTGGCATCTTCTTTAAAGTTGAAAAGTACAGTTTAGACGCAAAAAAAAAAAAAAAAAAAAAAAAGGGTTTTAAA